CTCAATGGGTTGGCAGTTAGAACCCATCATTCGCTCCACAGAAGAAAGATGTGACAGTCTGTTTCCATAAAGTTGCTGTTGTTGTGTTGTTATTGTTGTTGTTAAATGCCATTGAGTCAGTTTCAACTCATAGTGGCCCTGTATAGGATCTCGGAGGAGAGGCTGGTGGATTTGAACTGCCGATCTTGCAATTCAAACCAACCTTTCAGTCCAGTGCTTTATCCTACAGTGCCACACCAAGATTTCTCCATAAAGATTACAGCCTTGGAAACCCTGCAGGGCAGTTTTTACTCTGTCCTACTCTGAGTTGGAACTGACATAGTGGCAAAGGGTTAAATCAGTGGAAAGACACCAGTGTTCATAGACTGGGAGAACAATATTGTTAAGATGACAATACTACCCAAGGTTATTTACAGATGCAGTGTATCAAAATCCCAACTGCTCTGTGTGTGTGTATGTGAAGGAACAAGATGATCCCAAAATTTGTATGGACTCAGAATAGCCAAAACAATCTTGAAAAAGTAGAACAAAATTGGAGGACTCACACTTCCAATATCAAAAATGACTACAAGGCATCAGTAATCAAATTAGTGTGTTATATTGGCATAAGGATAGACAAATAGATCAAGAGAAAACAACTGAAAGTCCACCCCCCACCCCCCACCCCCGCCCCCTTGTCTCTTCTCTGTATTTGTACAACTGGTTCTGGCACAATCTATCTTGGAGAAGAATGCGCCAGGGTGTTAGGATCAGCAGGAGGGGCGCCTTTCACATTTCCTAGTAACCACATGGAAGGGGGCAGTTTGGAGCTGGCAGTCACAGCCATTGTTTGTTTATGTTGTAGTTGTCACCATGGTCCCCTGAGAGCTAGACAAACCGAGTAGCTAAACACAACTTCCAGGCCTGACTTGGAGAAGGTGTGTGCTGGGAGTGGGGTGAGGGTTCTCCTTCACCAGGGTCTGTGTTAGGAGGGAAAATTGGGCTTTCTGCCCCCTTGCAGGCCTCTAAATCCTAAATGGTGATTTACACCAGCTATTTCATAAAGGAGCTCTGGTAGCGTAGTGGTTACGAATCGGGCTGCGAACCTTAAGCTCAGCGGTTCGAAACTACCAGCCGCTCCGCGGGAGAAAGATGAGGCTTTCTACTTCCGTAAGGATTTACACCCTCGGAAACCCTGTACAGGGTTGCTATGGGTCGGAACCGACTCGAAGGCACTTAACAACAACAACAACAATTTCATACAGGGACTCCTGGTGTGACACTGTAGGATAAGCACTGGACTGCTAACCATAAGATCGGTGATTCAAACCCACCAGCCACTCTTGGAAACCCTATACAGGGTTGTTACGAGTTGGGACTGACTTGATGGCACTTAACAACAACATGCCACATGCCAGGCACAGTGTAAGCCTTGTAAGGGAAGGCAAATTTGGGTTAAGGCTCTGGTGCAGGTTCCAGACTTAGATAGGCGTGTAAACCCTACCTCCCTATTTATTGTTATGTGATCTTAGCAAAGTGCCTTAACCTCTCTGACCTGCTGTTAGTTTATCTGCAAATTGAGATACCAGCTATTGTTGTTAAGTGCCATTGAGTCAATTCCCACCCATAGCGACCAAGAAACGGCTGGTGAGCTTGAACCGCCAACCTTGCAGTTCAAACCAACTTTGCAGTCCACCGCATTAACCCACAGCACCATATCAGGACTCCAAGGATACCTGCGGTGGTGGTAGTGGTTATGTGCCGTGGAGTCGGTTCCAACTCATAACAACCCTCCCTGTACAGGGTTTCCAAGGATGTAAATCTTTACTGGAGCAGAAAGCCCCATCTTTCTCCCACGGAACAGCTGGTAGTTTCAAACTGCTGACCTTGCGGTTAGCAGCCCGATTCATAACCCTGTAGTTGATTCAAAATAACTTGCTGTACGTAAAGCTTACAACACAGAGGAAAGACTCAGGTAATGGGACCCTGTGAGCTTCAGTGCAGGCAGGGACCAAATCCATCTTTACTGTTATCTTGCACTCAGCATAGACCCTGGCACACAACACATGTTTAAGTTATATTTGTGGGGCAAGTAACGTATGAATTATTCTTACAAGATTTTGAATGGTGGTGGAATTACATTTACTTCTCCTGGACAGTGACCTCCACTGGCTTGGAAGCACTGATGAGAGCTCTGCCAAGCACTCAACTGAGCACCATGGCCAGGGGAGATCAGACTCATTCCCTACCAGCCACTTCATTCTAGCAGGGGTCCTCTGGCATGCCCTCTGTCACCTGCACGTACCTCAACCTGTTCCAGAGCCAAACATGGGACCTCACTTAATCTTTATAGGAGTTGGGGAGACTGACACTCAGATAAACTAAGCTGCTGCCTTGCACAAGGTCACACAGCGAATGGAGAGACCTGAGGCTGGCTCCAGTGTTCCTCATTCCTCATTGTTACATCCCTCAGCCCTACCCAGCCTCACTCATGTCTGCTGTCTCTCCACACCTTTGCCCATGCCATCCCTGACGCTTGGGTTGCCTTCCTCTCTATTCCCATCTCTTTTAATCAGTTTCCTCCCTTTTCTTCAAGCTCTGGCTCAAATGCCACCTAATACGAAACTGAGTGCCTTTTGCATCTCAGTCTTCTCTCTGATTAGGGGGAGACCTGGAGCTGAGACTGTGTGTGTTGGCCTGACAGTGCAACAACAGTGTTGTTATTGGAATGGACTTAATCTTGAATGAGTTACTTAACTTGTCAGTACCTCAGTCTCCTTATCTGGAAAATGGGTCTAATGATGGTACCTACCCCACAGGAGTATGTTGTTGTTGTTGCTAAGTGCCATCAAGTCAGTTGACTTAGGGTTTCCAAGACTTTACATCTTCTTGGGAGCAAAAAGCCTCATCTTTCTCCCACAGAGTGGCTGGCGGGCTCAAACCACCAATATCGTGGTTTGCAGTCCAGTGCTTACTGTATGGTTTAAATGAGAGAATTCACTTAGGGTAGGATCTCACACCTAATAAGCCCTTAGTAACTGTGGTTGTTGTTGTTGTTAAGTGCCGTCGAGTTGGTTCTGACCCATAGTGACCCTGAATAGGGTTTCCGATCTTTACGGGAACGGAAAGCCTCATCTTTCTCCCGCGGAGCAGCTGGTAGTTTCGAACTGCTGACCTTGTGGTTTGCAGCCCGATTCGTAACCACTGCACTACCAGAGCTCCTTGGTAACTGTGGTAGACCTTGCATCATCCAATATGGCAGTCACAAGTCATATCTGTTGCCATTGTTGTTGGATGCTGTTGAGATAGTTCTGACTCATAGAGACCCCATGTGATAGAGTAGAATTGCCCCATAGCATTTTCTTGACTAATCTTTATAGGAGCAGATCACCATGTCTTTCTCTCAAGGAACAGCTCAGTGGGTTCCAATGATCAACCTTTCAGTTAGCAGCTTAGCACTTAACCATTGAGTTTCTAGGGTTCTTTACAAGTCACATGTTGTTGTTGTTAAGTGCCTTCAAGGAGTTTCTGACCCATAGCGACCCTGTATAGGGTTTCCGAGAAACAGCTGGTGAGCTTGAACCACCGACCTTGCAATTCAAATGGCTTTGCAGTCTGGCGCATTAACCCACAGCACCACACCAGTTACATGGATCTGTTTAAATTAAAATTTAATGAATACTTCAGTTCCTCAGTCACATTAAGCAAAGTCACACGTGACTAGTGATTATTACATACGGGAGAACTCAGAAACAACATTTTCATCATCATAGAAAGTTCTATGGGATGGCATTATAGAAAATGATGCACATAGACATTCTGTGTGTCTTTGTGGTCTGGGTCAGGGAAAGGGCTGAGTGGTGTCTCTGAAGGCCAGGTCCACAACTCTTTGTTGGACCCTGGCACCCCCATTCTGGGTCTCCTTGCCCAGCTCAGCTTCCTCCAGCAGTGACTGGGGTGCCTCCCATTAGAGGGATTAGAGTGAGAAAGAAGACTGGTGGGAACTAGGCAGGATTAGAACTAATGAGAGAGCAGGGGAGGAACCCAATCCCAGAAGCCGCAGCCTGGTGAGAAGTGGGTCTGCTGAGATGGAGCCGGAATGTGAAGTGGGGTGGGGCTGGGGGTGCAGTTACCTAACTCCCCTGAGTGCGGGCAGCACCCCAGGTGGAAATAAATGACCCAAGACAGCCCCTCCTTCTCCTCCTGGTCCAAGTCTATCCAAATCCCAGAGCAGAGAAAGTGTATGGCACTACCCCCATAATTAGTCCCAAGAGGTTCTGGGATAGCCTAGAATAGAGGCCCAGGATAGCCTAAAAGTAGGAACCCAGGAAAGCCCAGGAGCATGGGACCTGGGAAGAGTAGTTTGGGCGAGTCCAGGGATGGTTTCAGTCTGTGTAGACCCCCTTAAGGTCAGGGGTCTGTCACTATAGTCCCAAGCTGATGCACTCCCATTTTATTTTGCCAACACCCTTCTGAGGCCTCCTAACCCTCAGATAATATAAATAATTCTCTACCAGTAGATCCAAGTTCATAGATTTGAACCCTGTTAGAGCAGGTTCAGCAGCAGAAGAGGAGGGGGAAGGTGTTTGGAGAACCTCAGTTGTGGGATCTCTTCATTAGTGAGATGGGGAAACTGAGGCCCAGAGAGAAAGGGAGCCAGTCTTTCTCCTTGAGATGCCCCCTTCTCCAGGACAGTGGCCTAGAAGATGAGGGCTCTGCAGGCACTAATCCTGGGCACCATGGCCAGGGGAGGCCAGCCTCATCCCCTGTCAGCCACCTCCTCCTGGCAGGGGTCCCCTGGCACTCCCTCTGGCCCCCACATGCCCCCCAACCTGTTCCAGAGCCAAACACGGGGCCTCACTTAATCCCAATTATGTAATGTGCAATCCAAACAGTTGGCCAAGTAGGAGGTGCTTAGAGCCACACCCAGGAGTGGGGGCAAAAGGCCCCAGTTGGGCCAGGCCTGAGAGACTAGACTTGACCTCCACCTGTAGCGGCAACCACTTCTAGAACCTCACCTGGCATCATGAGCGGCCACGTTGGAGACCTCAGCCCCAAGCAGGCAGAGACCCTGGCCAAGGTGAGAGCCCTTCTCCTGAAGGTCTAAGAGGCAGGGTGGCCAGAACCCTGCTCCGCTCTGTTGATTCAGCAGGTCCTACCCCAATCTGCCAGTTTAGAACGTCCGCTGACATTTTCTGTCTTTGTTGTCACCTGCTCCAGGGTTACACTCCACAGTGTCTGGTAATATCAGCCCTGTTCCAGGCAGAGGTTGAGCTTACAGGCAATAGTGGGGATGATACCCACTCAGGATCCAGCCTGTTTTGTTTTCCCAAAGGAGCCAGGCTCAGAGAGCTTTGTCTGGTGGCTGGGGCCCCTTTTCCCTCCTTCCCAGAGCCCCATAGGTGGCAGCTGAAGGATGCTCAAGGTCTGCTCTCTAATTCTGTCCTCCCTTCCTCCCTGGGGGACAACATTGAAAAATGACAGATTTGCCTGGATGAGCAAAGAGTCAGAGCTGGGTGTGTTATCATTCCATGGTAATTGGGGAAGAGGTCACATATCACTAACCATGGAAAATGGGATGAAAAATCAGAAGCCTTGGTGGGCTAACACATGGTGAGAGCTTAGAATACATCCGGACTCCAATCTACCCTACCCTCCCACCCAACTGTTTATCCTTTCTTCCCTCCACTTATCTATCTACCCATCCCATCCTCCTATTCTCCTAGCCATCTATTCATCCTTTCATTTCTTCTTCCTTCCATCCACCCACCCACTCATCCATCTAGCCAATCATCTCTCCTTCATTTCTTATATCCATGTACCCCTCCATCTATCCATCTGCACATCCACCCATCCAATCATCCATCTCTCTTTCTATCCATTCATTCACCCACCCATCAGTATGGGCCAGACCCATGTGGGAGGAGAGGCAGGATGATGAAAATAATCATTGAGACTGGAGACCAAGGTATACCTCTCTTCCCAGTTCCGAGAAAATGTCCAGGATGTGCTACCTGCTCTTCCCAACCCTGATGACTATTTCCTTCTGCGCTGGCTCCGAGGTGAGGGCAGAGGTGGAGAAAGTCAGGGTGAGGGCAATAAGAAGTGCCTGGTCCCAACTGCTCCAGAACGACCCACTGTCCTTGGATCTGTCCACTCAACTTGATTCACCTGTCTAGCTCCAGGAGATGAGGGCATGAAAGGGAGGCCCCCACAAAGCTCCCCAGGGCCCTGCATAGCTCTCCCTACCCAGCAGTAGGCACGGCAATGACAATACATCCTCTTTCCTCCTTACATCTTCCTTCCTTCCCTCTTCCCTTAGCGCGCAACTTCGACCTGCAGAAATCAGAGGCCATGCTCCGTAAGGTGAGGCTCATTCACCCTGGAGATTTGGGGAGCGACTTCATGGGGAACATATAAACCATGCCTCAAGCGCTTACCTCTATCCCCTCTTCAGGGGTGCTGGGAGCCCAGAGGGCCTTATCACACTTTTCCCTTCCAGCACATGGAGTTCCGTAAGACCATGGACATTGACAACATCCGTGATTGGCAGCCTCCAGAGGTGAGGCCAACACCCCACACATCCAGTCTTTCACAACATACTATCCAAGCAGACTCAAGGGCATGGGACCCCTGGGGCTACAGGTATCTCTCCTATAACAATAATAATTCCTTGGGGACTTATAAGGTCCAGGCCTGGGTTAAGATGTTACCTAACCCAGGTAAAGCTCATTTAACCATTAAACCAGGTGAGTACTATCATCCCCATTTTATAAATGAGAAGACTAAGATCCAGCAAAAGTTAAGCAACTTGCCCAAAGTCTCATAGTCCCAGCATGTCTGGCTCCCAGATCCACGCTCTTAATCACTACAGTAACGCTATACCTCTGCACCTCTCTCCCATAGAGCCTTGCTCAAAGCATCCTGTCTGGGTAGGAAAGAAATTAATTTCCCCAGGGCACTAGTGATGACAGTAAAGTAATGATAGCAGCTTCATTTATGGGGCACAAGCTCTGGGATGGGCACTGTGTTTTGCCAACATTACCTCAGGGACTTTCCCTAATAGTCCCATGAGGAAAGGATCATACAAACTATTTTACAGAAGAGGGACGGGGACTTAGAGAGGTAGTATCACTTGCCCAAGGGCACAGAGCAGCAGAATCTTTATATGAACCATGTCTACCTTCAGAATTCATGTTCTTCATCATTAAGCCCAACCCTCCTGGTAGAAATGGGATAGGGGAGGCATTGGAGGCCAAACTTAGGAGCTCAGCTGCTGAGAGCCTGGCCCAGCCTGAGTCTTGATCTTGCCATTTGCCCACTGTGAGTAAGTTCCCCAGCCATGGGACCCTCAGGTCTCACTTGGGACAATAATGCCACCCTCCAGGGGAGGACAGTGCATAGGCTCATATCCCCCGTGTCACTTTGGTCTGGGGGTCTCTAGAGAGTGTGTCACTTGTGCCAAGTGTTGTGTATCTTCCCATACCCAGGTGATCCAGAAGTACATGCCTGGGGGCTTATGCGGCCATGACCGGGATGGCTGTCCTGTGTGGTACGACATCATTGGGCCATTGGACCCCAAAGGGCTGCTCTTCTCTGCCACCAAGCAGGACCTGCTCAAGACCAAGATGAGGGACTGCGAGCGCATTCGGGATGAATGTGACCTGCAGACTGAGCGGGTGAGGCCCAGACCCAGCTGAGAATGTGTGAGAGGTGGGAAGGAAGGATGGGCCTGGGGCATGGCCTGCTTGTTGGATCAACTCCCAGCTCTGCCAATTACTGTGCAGCCTTGGAAAGTCACTTCACCTTCTCTGAGCCTCAGTTTCCTCACCTTCATTCAGGGTTAATAATCAATAATTATTGTGAAGATTAAATAAAATCGTGATTAAATGGCTTAGTACGTAGGCCCTAAGGCATGGTTTCAACAATGGTAGTTAATGCTATTTCTTCTGAATTTTTGCGCTTGCTGCTCTTTCTGCCTGGATCACCCAACCCCTACTATCCACACTGGCTCCTCTCAACTTCACCTAACACTCTCCTACTTATCCTTCAGGTGTCAAACTTAGATATCACCTTCCCTGACTCTCCCATCTGGATTAAATACCCTTCATCTGTGTTCCCACATCCCCTGTGCCATTCTGTCAAAGCATTTGTCACTGGACTGTAACTTTTAAATCTCTCCAACCCTTTAAGGACAAGAACTGTGGATTATTGAGCATTACACATTATACTCTCGAAGAATAAATATTGGTAGGACAAGTGGAGGGATAGATGGATAGTTGGTCATATAAATAGATGGATAGGTAAATGGATTGATAGTGAGTTGATGAATGGATGGATGGATAGTTGGATGGATGGATGAATTGATGGATAGTTGGATGGGTAGATATATAGATGGATGGATGGATGCATAGTTGGATGGATGGATGATAAGAAAATGCATTCTCTGCTTTGTCTACTTACTCCTGTGAGGACAGGGTTGAGGGGCTGGAAGAAGTTCTGAGGGTTTATGTGTGTGGGTTACCATCTCCCAAGTTGTGAGCTTGCATCCTGCACCCTGCTCTCATCCTCACAGCTGGGGAAGAAGATTGAGACCATCGTAATGATATTTGACTGCGAAGGGCTGGGCTTGAAGCACTTCTGGAAACCTCTGGTGGAAGTGTACCAGGAGGTGAGACAACAACCTGTTAGGGTCTCCCACTTGCTCGATGACCAGCTTAGTTGTCTGTGACTTTGCTGCCTACTCAGAGCCAGGATTTAGTCAAAGATGGAGCCCTTCCTGAGCCTCATCACTGCAGCTTAGGGCCATAAGGGCCTTCATATGGTTCCTAGAAGATCCCACAGAACAGGCCTCAGGACAATGCTAAAACCACAGAGGCCACCCTCAGCCAAACCCTTCCCAACCCTGTCATCCCCAACTCTGTTACTTGAACAAGTCACTTTACCTCATCTATAAAATGGGATAACATTATTAGTATGTATATAAAAGGGATGTAGGGATACTTCAGTGAGTGGATATGCAAATGTGCACATAGTGCTTGGTAAATAGTGAACATTTAATACACAGTAGTCATTATTATAGAACAAAGCACTCGACTACAAGGTCTGTTCAAACTGCAAGGTCAGTGGTTCAAACTCAGCAGCTGCTCCTTGGAAACCCTATACAGGGTCACTATGAGTGGTAATCAACTCAACAATACTTAACAACAACAACTGGCATTATTATTACCACTTCACTATCTTTATTACAATGTTCCCTCTAGCAATGGAGAGTGTTGTTGAGTACTGTTGAGTTGGTTATGACTCATAAGGTTTCTGAAGAGCTGCTAGTGGGTTTGAACTGCTAAACTACCAGTGGTTCTGTGGGAGAAAGATGAGGCTGTTTGCTTCCTTAAAGACTTACAGCTTCAGAAGCCCTACCAACCAACCTATGAGTCAGAACCAACTCCATAGCACACAACCACCACCAACACTAACACCTTGTGGGTAGCATTGTTAGCAGTCCAGTGCTTATCCTACAGCACCACACCAGGTCTCTACAATGGAGTGTTGTTGTTTTTGTTAAGTGCCATCGAGTCATATTACGTAATAATTATCCGGTTACTATTCGGGCTGTGAGCTCTGGTAGCGTAGTGGTTACGAATCGGGCTGCAAACCTTAAGGTCAGCAGTTCGAAACTACCAGCTGCTCCGCGGGAGGAAGATGAGGCTTTCTACTCCCGTAAGGATTTACACCCTCGGAAACCCTGTACAGGGTCGCTATGGGTCGGAACCGACTCGACGGCACTTAACAACAACAACAATCTCACAGCTAACCACCACCACCACCAGTTCTAATAGTCTGAGGGGAGATGGTGCCCTCTAGAGGCTAAACAGGGGAGGTGAAAAAAGAGAAACCCTCCACAGCCTCTTCTCCAGAGAGTTGATTACAGAGGAAATGCTGATAGAAGGCTAGGTGTGGCCTCTAACCTGATCTTTCTTGGTTTCATAGTTCTTTGGCCTCCTTGAAGAAAATTATCCAGAGACTCTGAAGTTTATGCTCATCGTGAAAGGTGTGTGGCAAGTGATTTTGCTCTCCTGTACCTCTTTTCCCTCACCTGTACAATGGGGATGAAAATAACACCTTCTTCCCAAGGTTGTTGTGAGGCAGGTTGGTGTTTGGCTGCATGCAAATCACTTAGAGCACATGCACAGAGTAAGCATTTGATAAGTGGTAACAGCTATGGCTGGCCTTATTGTAAGAAGAGCCAGCTCCAACCCCAGTTCTTCAGGAATCTCTCCTCATTTCTCTTGTCCATGCTGAACTTTTCCTCCCTCTCACACTGTCAGATAATGCAATGTAATCTTGCCTTTTCTGTTTGTTGCCTTATGGGTACCTCCAGTTGTCTTATGTGTGCTCATAGTGTTTTCCTGTCTGAGTTGTCTGCAGCTTGAAGACAGGAGTTATATCCTCCATGGATCTGAGGTCACAGTGGATGCTCAATATTTATTTGAGCATTTCATTCATTGTTGTTTGGGTGAGTGGTTGGATGGGTATTTGATGGTTGACTGGTTGGTTGGTTGATTGGCTAATCAGATGCTGGCTAGTTGACTGGGCAATTGGTTGACTGTATATAGTTGAATGGCTATTTGGCTTGTTGGCTACTTGACTGGCCAGTTGACTGATTGGGTGACTGCTTGGCAGTTTGGTTGGTTGGTTGGGTGGGTGGGTGGGTGACTGCTTGGCAGATTCGTTCATTAAGTGGCTGGTTTGTTTTTTGACTAGATCTTGGATAGCTGACCATCTGATTGTTTGAATGGTTGACTGACTGGAGCAGGAAGTTTGTTGGCTGATTCGTTGGTTGTTTAGTTGATTGGTTTCTTTGTTGTCTGATTTGTTGGGTAGTTGTTTAGCTAACTGATTGGTTGATTGGTTAGAAGGTGAGTTGGTTGACAGTTCCTGGCTGTTTCACTGGTATATTGGGTAACTAGCTGGTTGACTGGTAGATTAGCTGGTTCGTGAGTTGGCTGATGAGTTTGGTTGGTTGACTTGTTTGTTAATAAGTTGATATGTTGGATGATTTATTGGATGATTTATTGATTTAGCAAACTGGCAAATAGACTCTTTAGTTGTCTGGGTGGTTGGGTGCAGGGCATTGGAACTGGCCAGGATTACTCCATATTGCTGGTTATGACTTAGAGACAGTGGCCCAGTGGAATTATTTTCTCCCCATTATCCTTTCTTGTGTCTCTCCAGCCACCAAGTTGTTCCCTGTGGGCTATAACCTCATGAAGCCCTTCTTGAGTGAAGATACCCGCAGGAAAATCATAGTGCTTGGAAGTAAGTAGCTCCAGCATCATCCTCTGAGCTCTGTGCATGAGCTTTGGAGTGAGGTTGGTCCATCACCCCATCTATAACTCTGTCCACCTCTTAGCATCGGAGGTTCTTCCTTTTAAAAAATGAGGTTGGTCTTACACTAGAAAGTTTATCCAGCCACCCATGCTTTATTCCCTGCCATGCCCCTTTGATGACTAAGGTCTCTACACTTACTTCCTTATCAGTTTCAGTTTGATTGGTAGGCAACCTCTGGACTATGGGCCTTAGTTTCCTTTCAATACTCATTATCTAAATGATGACAACCTAGGGCAAAGAAGATGGAAATGAAGAGTGAGAAGAAGCATTGTGACAAGGAAGGAAGTCCAATAAGTCATCCAGTCAGTCAACCAATAAGAAGTTATGATGTATTAATTGGATAAATTTGGGGGCAGCCATGAAAAATAGTGCTGTGAGTGAATATTGAATGCAGTGAAAGCTGTCATTAAATAAAAAAGGAGATTATAAAGCGATGTGACAGTACAATCCTAATTGTGTGAAAACAAATATATATTTCTAGAAAGAAATATAACAATGAATTGTGAATGGTGAGAACTCAAGTGGTTTTAAATGTTATTATTTGTATTTTTCTGTATGTTCTAAATTTGGACAATAAATATGTGTTAATTTTACATGCAGAAAATTGTGATCAAAAGAGACAGAGAAAGAAAGAAAAAAAAAGAAATAGTTCTTAAATTCACACCAATAACTCTATGCTTGGAGGGTAACTTCTCCCAAGCAAAATGGTCAGATCATAGAATCAAGGTATTTGAGGATTTATGAGATCTTTAAAATCTCTGATTCCTCTATTTCTTGACACCTGGACCTCTGCCCCTGTTCAATCCCACTAGAATGGGAGTTTGATGGATCACATGGTAGCCTGATTAGATGGCTTCTTGTGCCTCCAAATCTGGGACCAGTATGGCTTACCATCTCACTCCAAGACACAAGTCCGAGGCCTCTGTCCCATTTGGTGTCTCAGGGGGCACTATGCATTTGGCCCTACTGTGTTAAGCCTTATAGTCTTCACCTGTATCCCACTGGAGGCCATGGGGTAGGGTGGTAACCTTGATTGACCATGGACCTGGGAACATGTTAAACACTCCTGGATGCAGAACTCTTAGAACCAAGAGAGAAGGTAGCAATGAAAACAAAGTCTTATTTCAATGAAACAAAGCTCCTTGTGTGGCCAGTCTATCAGCTTCTTCATTACCTTTGATGCCTCAATGGGAACATACTTCCACTGAATATCCTTGCCTTGGGAAGCTTGATCAATCTTCTCAAAATCATTTCTGTTGACAACATCTCTTCCAGAGGCTGTTTTCCATCCATTTTGTTTCCAGTTACTAAGCCATTCTGTCATGCCTTTAATGACAAACTTGCTATCAGTTTCAATGGTGAGCATATCTATATTTTGGCTCTTTGCTTGTTCATTGCTTTGTGGGCTGCCCTCAGTTCTGCCATTTGGTTTGTCTGTCTTTCAGAAACACTCTCACTCACATTTACTGGGTGGCTAGGTCCCCTGTAAACTCCATATCCAGCTTGTGAACCACTTCTCCCATTATTTCTGCAGCTACCATCAACATAGACAGTTAGAATGTAGTCTCCTCCAGCACCAAAGTTCTGTCCGCTTCATCCCCTGGAGTTCATGTCAGACTTTTATACCAAGATCAACCAGTGACATCCTAGGTCCCTGCAATCTACCCCTCCATGTCTTATAACCACCTTCATTCTCCTTGCCCCCAGATAACTGGAAGGAAGGTTTGCTGAAACTCATCAGTCCTGAGGAACTACCTGCCCAGTTTGGGGGAACCCTGACGGACCCAGATGGGAACCCCAAATGCTTAACCATGGTACAAAGAACCCTAGGACAGGGGAGAAAAGTGGTGCTGGATCCCCTTCCCTCCCATGCATTCATTCCACAGACATCTGTAGAGGGTACTCCTGTGAGTCAGATATTGAGCAAGGCAATTCCAAATCTGCCCTCCCATAGGGAAATGACCCAAAGTGTTCACCTGACCCAAATAATTGAGCTGAAACAGATGCTAGGACCTATGAGGGTCCAGAGGGTGCCTTGGCCCAGTCTAGAGGGCAAGACAACATCCCAGAAGAGATAAGTGGCCGGGATGATCAGGATACTTCTTGTAGATGATGAAGGTATCTCAGGCAGGAGAAAAAGCATGAACAATGACCCTAGAGGGGCAAGTCCACCATCCCTGTGTTTGCAGATCAACTATGGCGGGGAGATTCCCAAGTCTATGTACGTTCGGGACCAGGTGAAGACTCAGTATGAGCATTCAGTGCAGATCAACCGTGGCTCCACCCACCAAGTGGAGTATGAGATTCTGTTCCCAGGATGTGTCCTCAGGTATGAACAGGTTACCATCCCAATCCTGGCTGGGCCCCAATCCCCAGGGAACCCATTGGGCTAAGCAGAAACTCTACCCTATACCAAATCCCACAGGTGGCAGTTCTCATCAGATGGGGCAGACATTGGCTTTGGGGTCTTCCTGAAGACCAAGATGGGTGAGCGGCAGCGGGCAGGTGAAATGACAGAAGTGCTGTCCAGCCAGCGCTATAACGCCCACATGGTGCCCGAGGATGGGAGTCTCACCTGCTCAGAAGCTGGCGTCTGTAAGTTTGTCCTGCTGGGCCCTGACACCAGAAGGCTGGAGCCAAATGTCCCATGGTTTAGAGGAGAAACATAGACACCCAGCTTAGGTTAGTGCCATCCATTCACATGTGCACTCATTCGGTTCATACCTGTGAGCACCTCCTGTGTACCAACAGTCAGAGATGATACAGATACATGGACTCCAAAAGGTTCCATACTTTTAGGAATTAGAACACCAGGCTTTTCTGTGTTCCATACTTTTAGGAATTAGAACACCAGGCTTTTCTTCTGAGGCACCTCTAGGTGGACTCAAACCTCCTACCTTTCAGTTAGCAGCCAAGCATGTTAGCTATTTGCACTAATGTCATACCAGTCGTTGGGTAGGTCACCTATAGTAATCATTCCTACAATGATTACTCCTGCCTCTTGGGATGGTTCTGAGGAGGCAGAGGGTGTGTGGTAAGCCTGGTCTAGCATCTCACATTGTCCAAAGGGTCTAAGAGGCATCTGATGGCTCCAGCTGCCCCCTCTTCTATATTCCCATCATGTGAGCCTCTGGGTATGGATACAATGGTATATAATCACCATTGTTCCCATTCTCAGTTGGTGCAACTAAAGCCAGCCTGGGCTTGGTGCCAGGAGGAGGTGTCTGTTTACAGGTCCTGTTCAGGCAACAATACTAAATACCCATGGACAGTTCCCATACCAGGGAACAGTAGTGATGTAAACTTAACCCAGCTTGGCAAACAAAACAGGTGGAAACACAAGCCTGTCCTCCCTTATGGCCAAGGAAGAGATGCAGGGAGTGTGAAGCTAGGTCCAACTGCCCATCTGTTCATCTGTCCCCCAGATGTCCTGCGCTTCGACAACACCTATAGCTTTGTTCATGCCAAGAAGGTCAGCTTCACAGTGGAGGTGCTGCTCCCGGATGAGGGCATGCAGAAATACGACAAGGAGCTCACTCCCGTCTAGATGTCTCCCTCACTTTTCAGAGAACTCCGGCCCTCTGCTTTCTCTCTATATTCTCCATCCCCAGAAATGGATCATTAGTCCTCCAGACCCAGTGACATTAGAGAAAGGGCTGCTTTGTGGAAGATCCACATGCTGTTGTCAGATTAGGGAAGGTAGAAGAAGCACAGTCATGGAGGGTACCAAAGTTTCAGAAGAGGAAGAAAGCAAAGATGAAGCTAGGAAGTGGGATGTCACCGAGCCTCTAGGAGATAGGAAAATGAACCCCCAGCCTTTATTCTTAGTGCTCTTAAGGCATTTGTGAGTGCTTAAATTACCTTCCCTATAACCTGTGAACTCCTTGGGTTGGAGACCTATCTAAATTCTTTTTATTCCCCCTCTTTGTATTTGTATGTAGTTTTCTATTAGGTGCCATCTAGTTGAATCCAACTCACAGAAACTCATGTGACAAGAGTAGAACTGGTCCATAAGATTTCCTAAACTGCGATCTTTATAGCGATCTCCAGAGGCAGATTGCCAGGTCTTTTTCTTGTGGGGCAACTGAGTAGGTTCAAACCACGAACCTTTTGGTTAGCAGCTGAGCCCTTAATTGTTTTACTACCATGCTCATTGTATACCTGTGGTGTTAAAAAGAGGACTAGGAGATAGGAAGTGGGTGGTTCACAGATGTGTAGGATGAGAGACCTAGGCCTGAGGACAATTTTCAGCACCTTGGACAGGAGTCACGGAGTAGTGGGAATGGACTGTTGATAGAGTAATCTGGAGACCCAGCCCCAGACAGCCCACCACCACTACTGCCCTTTTCGACAGTGGCTGCCTCTTGAGGGTCCTAATCACAAAAACCACGTCCCTCTGATAGATGATGCTGCGTCAGGCTCCATCTAACTCAGGACACACATTTCCCCACCCCAACCCACCCCATCATTCTCACCCTCACTCCCTCCTTTGAAGCAACTCAAGGAACTTTCCTGGAAGCAAAGGAAGTTATGTCTGACTCTAGTGGCCACTTGGCAATAATAATAAAAATCACAGCTATCATGCCAAATGTTTGGTGAATTTACTTCATTTCACTCTCATACCAGCCCCTGAGATCACTTGTTCTTTTTTATTTGCTTTAAATAATTTGTTGAGAATACACCAATTCAAGTTTCTACAGTACATTTCAGTGACACTGATTGCATTCTTCAAGTTGAGCAATCTTTCTCACCCTCCTTTTCTCTGTTGTCCTTCCCCCATTGACATACGCTCACTGCCCTCTATCTCATCTTGCCTGATGCTGTTGTCAACTGGATCTTCAATAGGTAATAAAACAGCTCAAGGTTCACAACAGACATTCTTTATTAGTTAAGCTAAGCTACCGTTTGGTTTTAAGAAGATGTCAAGGGATATTTTTGGCTTCAGATTGAATGATCATTTCAGGGCAATCATCTCAATAGATCATTCAGCCTCTATTAACTCCAGAAAATCTAGATTCCATGAAATTTTGAAATTCTGTCCTGCATGTTTCCCCTTTTGATCTGCTGTGGATCTTTCATCAAAATGCTCAGGAATGGTAGCCAGGCACCATCCTATTCTTCTGATCCTGAGACCACTTATAATGAAACAGACTCAGAGAGGTGAAGTTACTTACCCAACATCACACAGATCTTAAGTGGCAGATCTAGGGTCCAGTTTTTATTGTCTTTATTCTAAAGATGTTTCTTTTAATTGTCTATAATAACAACGCCTAAGATCCTACATTCACAAAGGAGAAGTGACATATTAGACCTAGATCTTCCAGGAGAAGTGTCCTGGATATTATTCTCCAGTCCTTGTCAGTGGGCTGAGAAAACAAAGATCCACAAAGGTTAAGCAGCTTGTCCAAGGGTACTCACAACAGAGCTCGGCAAGACATTTATTCCGAAGCCCAGAGCTTGTCCTCAGCTCACGTGGCCTCTGTGAAGCAGAACCCATTGACATCTACTGAGACCCTGGGTGGACTGGGGAGAGATGCCAGGCCTCCTTTCCCAATTCCAAGATGTGACCTTGGCTTGAGTCGCAGGTCCTGACAACTCTTGCCAGAGAAGAGTCAAATTACACCAAGAATGTGGGTGGTTAGAAACCAAAGGCTATGGGAAACTAATGCTGTGAGAGGCTTTGTGGGATGAGCTGCAGGCCAAGCCCATTGGGTCTGAGCATGGGCAGAGTATGAGCCCCGACTCCTAGCATATCACATAAATTTGCAGCACTGTGAACATTTCCCATCTACACTGGTCTTGTTTCCTTCAGTCTGTGGGCAGGGAAAACAGGACTAGAGCTAAGGCCACCTCATCACTTGCACCATTCAGTCCCCATCCTGTGGGAACCTGCCAGAACAGGATGAGAATGCCTTTTTCCTGGGCTGGGGGAGGTGCAGAGAAGGGAGACAGACGGGAGAAAGCAAAGAAGAGGAAGAGAAACGGGTTGTCAGATTTAGGAGAAATACAAATCAGAACATTAGGCAGCATTTGGAATCCTGGTGTGTCTCTCTAGGATTAAGTACTGGACTGTTAACCACAAGATCTGTAGTTCAAACCCACCAGCTCCTCCTTGGAAAACGTATACAGAGTTGCAGAGAGTCAGAACTGACTCCACGGCACTTAACAAGGCAATATTTGGAAATTGTACTAAAAATATATATATTCATTGTTGATCAGAAATTCAAATTTAACTGAGATCCTGTTATTTCACCTGACAACCCCAGAAGGGAATGTGTTAGGGGACAAAGGGGCACTCTCGTGGAAGAGGGTGACAGTACCTGCAATTTGGGGCAGACATGTCTTGGGAGCCTAGGAGAGGACAACTGGCCATCAGTGGTATGCGGTGGAGGGACAAGGAGCTCAGCCTGGTCTACTGAAGGAAAAGAACACTGTGCAGTGGCAAGCTGAAGGATGAGGAAGCAGGGGCCTATTTGGGGTCAAGGATGCCTTGATCAGTGCTGCTGGATGTCCTGAGAGCTGCTTCTCCTGCATCTGGCAGAAACTTGCTGTGAACAGAGGAGAACTTGGGACCAGGAGGCAGGGTTCATGCAGGGGTCTCAAAGCCAGGGCTGGAGCTGAGAACTAGAGAACACCCTCAGCATCTGCTTAATCCCAGCTCCCGCTCCATAACTTGGTGATGGGAAACAGGCCTCCTCAGCAGCAATATTCCAAGTCCAGTTCCGAATACATGTGGGAGAGGAAGAGACCAACTCAGTGGCCTCATTCAATAGGCCTCCCTCCCCACTCCAGCAGTGGTTAGCAGCAGAGTAGGGGTGAGGGAACAAATAGTCAGTCCATTAAGGACTCAGCCTAGAAATGCAGAGAAGGCCAAGGAGGATGAGAGGGCAGAGCAACCTAGGAGAGAAAGGGTTGAATAGGAAGAAGAGGGCCTTAGCTGCCTTGAGAAGTATAAAATGATTATTAAAACTTCCTAGGAGCTCTGGTAGCATAGGGGTTACGAATCGGGCTGCGAACCTTAAGGCCAGCAGTTCGAAACTACCAGCTGCTCTGCGGGAGAAAGATGAGGCTTTCTGCTCCTGTAAAGATTTACAGCCTCGGAAACCCTGTACAGGGTCGCTATGGGTCGGATCTGACTCGACGGCACTTAACAACAACAAGAAGCCATAACTAAACACCTTGAAGGAGTGAGTTGCTGGGCCTGGGGGCTCAAGGTTAACTGGCATACATCAACTGACAATGTTCTACATCTCCTTTGGTGACTAGTGACTACGGTCTAAAAGCTTTTGAGTGACCATCTAATGTGCAACTATTGGTGTGCCCTATCTGAATCAAAAAAGTGTAAAGAAAAACAGACACACAGAAACATTTAGCCCAAAGTGTTACTGGACCATGTGAACCTCAGAAGAACTAGATGGTGTCCAACTATAACTACCAATTGTTCTAAAACAGATCACATTAGAAGGTCCTGGATGGAATGAGAGAAAAAATGTAGAACAAAACTCAAAATCATAAAAATGACGAGGCTTACTTGTCTGATAGACTGGTAGAACCCCCAGGACTATGGGTCTAAGATACTCTTCAAGCCTGGAACTGAACTCACCACTGTGGCCCAACTTTCAACCAAGCAGTAGACAAGTCTATCAGGTGAATAATAACACCAGGGAGGCACACGTTTCTTAGAACCATCAATCATACAAGATTGAAAGGGCGGCGTTTGCCCTGGGATAACGCTCAGAAGACAGAAAGGGATAGGAAAGGAGGAGGAGGGGAAATGGGAAACAGGGAAGAAGCGAGAAGAGTCATTATGTTGTGGAAATTGCAATCAATGTTACAAAACAAATGTGTACGAATTGTTGAGTGGAAAACCAATTTGCCCTGCAAACTTCACTCAAATCACAATTGAAAAGTTTTAAAAATTTGTTTTAAAAGGTAGCAGGTTGAACCCACTGCCCTGGGGTCAATTTTAACTCCTCTTGACCCTCTAGGGCACAGTAGAACTGCTCTTTAGTTTCTGAGACTATGAATCTTTACAGGAGCAGACAGCCTCATCTTTCTCCTGTAAAGCAGCTGGTGGGTTTGAACTGCCAGCCTTAATGTTAGCAACCCAATGCCCAACTCATTGTGTCATCAGGGCTCCCTTGTTGTTGTTAAGTGCCTTTGAGTCAGTTCCAACTCACAGAGACCCTGTATAGCATTTCTGAGGAGCAGTTGGTAAATTGAACCACCAACCTTGCGGTTCAAACCTACCTTACAGTCTAGTACATTATCCCACAGAGTCACACCAGGACTCCAGGGCTCCCTTGCTGTTGTTGTTGTTAAGTGCTGTCAAGTCGATTACAACCCATAGGGACCCTGTACTGGATTTCTGAGGAGCCACTGGTGAACTTGAACCACCAACCTTGCAGTTCAAATGGCTTTGCAGTCTGGCGCATTAACCCACAGAACCACACCAGGACTCCCTTAAGAGCTATCAAATACAACAACTTTCATGTCTATGCCTTACTCCACCAAAAGGCTGGGCCCCTACTATGCAGACCCCAGGGA